CAGAAAGGTCGAGGCGGCGGTGGAAGAGAAAAATCGATCAGCATGAGGCCGGTCAACGCGGCATGCCATTTCTATTGCTTCTCGATTAAGCGCATTTTACGCTCTGACAATGGAGAGCAGACCAGGCTCTCCGAAGCGCCGGTATTCGGCGAGCCTATTTTACTGCTCAAGTTATCAACCCGGATTTCTCAACTTTGCCAATCATTCAGCTAACCCCCAATCTTGAGCGCAACCTGGGGCCAAAAACCAACATTGGCACGAAATCAAAATAGGCAGTTCTCAGATGAGGTCTATCGCGTGTCATAAGCTGTCTTCAAAACGAATTTTATCTGTCTCGCCACCTAACATAAGCTATCGATGCAAATAGGGTACCTACTCATGCATGAATTAGTGTCGCTCTCTGGAGACGCACCAGCGAAGCAGTGCTGGAGAATGAAATAGTGTGCACAGACATATCTACATATTGTAGAAGATGCATTCGTCACCAGGTTACAAGACATGCTCACCCTGTCGGATACCAAGATTAAATCTAGAGCCACCACAGACAGTCGCATACCGACCACAGTACATGTAGGACGACTGACTGGTAAAGCGTTTGATGTAATGTTCAGCTTAATGTTAGGTGTGGCTGGTTGACAACGGTTAATAAGTCAGAAACAACCATCAAATACCCATACTTCCTCTAAATATATATACCGCTGTAACGGCGTTCACCGATCGGTCTGTGGAATAAAGTCGTCCAGTCGCGCCACAGGTATCAGACTGAGGCCCTCTCAGGCAGTTGCACAGCGACCAAATATGATACAGGAAGGAATACTGACGAAAATAAGGAAGAATGGGATGACAACTTCTGCCTTCTTAGCTATCGCTGGTCAGCCTTAATGAGACCAGTCAAAAAATCCGACTTCGAATTCTGGGTTACTCAAACCCGGGTTTCGTCAAGGCTGGCTAACGATGGCTAAGAAGGCAAAAATTGTCATCCCATTCTTCCTTATTTTCGTCAGTATTCCTTTCTGCATCATGCAACTGCCTGAGAGGGCTCCAGTCCGATACCTGTGACGCAACTGGGCAAGTGTATTTCACAAACCGATCGGAGAACGCTGTTTCAGCAATCTCCAACCACTTTTTAATTCCTCCGACAGCTTCAGCGTCCACGCGAGCACATTTTCCAGAAAAATAAAAAGCACCTGATAGAGTCATGACGGCGGGTATGTCTATGGATCAAGTCGTCAATTGAGTGTCGTAGTTGCTGCAGCGGGTACGAAATTCAGTCATCTGAATGACCCGAGATTCTACGAGGTCAACAGATAGGGTTCAGCTATCAACAGGTTAGCATAGTTCGCTGCTCGACCTGTCCCCATATTTGTGGCCGATAGTTGTCATTTCAACTCCAACGTCTTTGCGCCGATCTTGTTGGAGATCCATGTCATCTGAGTTCTCGCATGACCTTTGTTCAAGCCATTCTGCGTTCAGGCCTGACAGGAAACCTCGTGTGTTCGCCTCCGTCTTTGATTTTAGTTTGTCGGCGACCGCGATCGGCCGTCTTTCCACCAACAGTGTTACTGATTAAACTCCACACTTACGTCGTTGTAAGCCACAGGATGCATCAGACAAAGGTTAACGGAAGTTGCTGAGGAGTGCCATATTTCAAACGTTTCTCTACATTTTGACGTTGGGGAAAAACAAAGGCTTGTCCAGAGTCTACACAGTGATCTGAACTAAAGAGAGCAAATGAATTCTTCGTATTGCACAACGTGTTCGTTGAAGCGGATCGGCAATCTCTCTACGGCCTCTTCGGTGTAATTTGCTTCACAGGAACCCAATTAGATGCGATAAATGATGTTAGCCACTTTGTCTCGTCACAGAGGAACGTCGGGTTTCATGACCAGACGCCTTATTGCTGCCTCGAGTCTGTGAATCACGCGGATTCCTAGAGGTTGCAAAAGGCAGTCAGTTGTTTTAAATACGTTGGCCGTATACGGTAGCGCCCACCAGACCACAGGCTGTTCTGAAGTTAGCCCTATTATTCGTCTGGATCGCCTGGTAAATTTTACAAAGCTGCTGGGCCACCTGTTGGAAATCAAAATCTACCAAAGAGAAGGAAGTCCGACTACTTTGTCACCTATCGCGTTGCAGCGAGTATCCACTCTTTTGTAGAGCGTTCCTAATGGGCTAAGTTGGGGGTAAAACGTGCGATCACTGTGGTAGCCCAGGACTTTAGGCGTTTTAGGGACACTCCTGTATACCAGCGTCTCCAAGCCCCCGTTGATTATATGTTAAACCAGTACGACTAGGAATAATATTTAGTTGCTCTTAGCTGGATCCACCGTGGACTGGCTATTGAGAGTTCAGGTACATGGGGAGTCCCTGGAAGTGACACATGTTAGGCTGTTGGGTATATTCCTTGCAATTTTTTACGCGTGTTAACGATTAATTTCACATGTAGAAGACTGGGAAAAACTTATACTTCAAAGCAGTTAACCCAATGTTAGTCCAACAGTCCGATTTTTAGTTTTTGCTCTTAGTTTTGGTCGGATACGGGAATATGGACTTCCTAGAATTACAGGTGTCCTCGTGCTAAATTCCAGGAAGCTCGTAATATCGTGTTCTAGCTTTTACCCCAAAACTTACCCTAACCCTTATTCCCCTAGGCCTAACCATAACCTAAGCACTAGCGCGCACAAACTTAACCCAAACTCTCCAAGTATCTAAACCAAGGTAACCTGTAGTACGAGTGTCCATATTTCAGTGATTAACCTAAGTCTATGGAGATTTGCGACAGAATATTCTCTAAAAAACCAAGCAGGTCGGCTTGGGAGGTCGCGCTATGCACGCAGTTTGCCTATAGCCCTTTGTTAAAATGTCGGAATCGGATCATTCCTCATCAACTGACTCGAATTAAAATCTATGCCCATCTTAACTCGAGTTCGTTGTATGCATAGGCAGCTGCGGCATAACCAGTTAATGTGTCATTTTGATGTCTGCTCTGGTTTTCTAGTGGGTCCCCTGCGTAGTTGCACTATATATGGATAGATTCACTTAAAACTGAAGACATAAATGCTAAACCAGATAATACTACCTTTCTTAGAAGATCTTTGAGACTTGTTAATTGACCTATGATGCGAAAATAAATGGTTATCCCAACTTTTGACTCCGTTATCTATTTGGAACACTTTAGTTTTACTGAAAATTTCGTCCCCTTTTGCCCTTTGGTCGGCAACTTACCCACACAACTCGTACAGCGCCCAGGGACGTCGTCCATCCTCCAGACGAAGCGATTTGCCGATTTCTGCGCAGCTGTAGGTGTGGTGGGCGCTATGGTGGTAACAGCGACTCTCAGATTCCGGCTGACATTGTATCCCCCTCCTACTGCCTCAGCGGCACCACTTTCGGCTGGCCTGGGCTGTGCGGGGTCATGTTGCGCTTTTTCTATCGACTGTTGCCTGCGCGACGATCGTTGGTACCGGGCAAGCGCGTCGCCTGGTCGGTCGCGGAGGGCAGCCAACACGGCCGGTTCAAACCGCAAGTGATCTCCGGCGTCCGTTTTACTTACATAATATCTATACTCAACCTCAGGCAGGGGTAAGCTGGTGTCCTTGTTCTCTACGCTGATCTGTGAAACGGGAAATGGGTGATTATATTAAGATACTCACGCATAAAAAGTTACTTGTCGGAGTCGTCACAGGAAGGAACAGGGTTCCTAGTTAAAAGCTATTTAAGTGGTATAAGCTTGAAGATGTCGTGCTGTGACGTAAATACTTTGAGTGAGACTGTTGCTTGCATTCACAAAGACAGCTTTAAGGATGTTATCCAAGAAAATTAATGTTAGCTGACATTCTTCGACTGTCTCACTTCAGGACCATATTATACCGCTATAAAATAATGACAGTTTAGACGGTTAAAGAGTTTCATTTCACAACTGTCTGGAAAGTTTGGATCTGAAGGCGGTCTGAAAATCTGGATAAAAAGAGCACTAATGTAGGAAAAAAATAAGTGCAGAATTTGAGCTGCAAAGTAAACGTTAAAATGCTGTCATCTAGAGTGTGTTGGTCACAGGTGAGTGTGACGAATCCCAGACCAGTAGTTGTCACTACCGCAATGTCTGTCCGTTTTCTGAGTGAAATAGGCCGTACAAAATACGTTCATTTTTGTGTTCAGTAGCTTCATTCACTGAAATATCGACAGACAGCAATGGATGTTACCACTTTCGCCAAACACCTACTGTCATACTTATGTGTGGGGATCACTAAAAAGCAGAGAACCTCAACGTTACTCCCATTTTTTATTTTTCAATTGCAGACAGGGTGACATTTTATCGATATGAGCGTTGACCCTCTGGCTTGCGGTCGTTGCTGTTTGCTTTCACATTCCTGATGCACTTGATATTGTCTTAAGACAGACTATTGTTTAGTCAAATCAGTTTTGGCTGTTAATCAAGGAGGAAATGAAATCACGTGACGCTTACCAAAATGTTTACATCCTTCAGCAATTGACCTGTAATTTTGACGATTTCCTCCTTTTCGCGACTTCCGCTGTAGTAGAGTTCACCTCCGGCAAATTCCTCATGTGTTTCTCCGCGGCGAATGCGCGTCTTCAGTTCTTCTAGAATGACTTTTGTCATATAACATGACTGTCGTTAGTTTTTTGGGTAAAGCAACAATAATATTTTCCAAGGCAGCATCAAACACACCAATCCTAGCGTAACTTGATGCTGGCAAAACAGGGTGAATAGTAGATAAAGAATTAACAGTGCGGGTGCTTGACATGTTGCGGAGAGAGGCAGAGAGTCATGTCTCCGTACTGGAATCAGGCCAGGCCGGCCTGCGTCAGTTCCTGCGTGGCGCGATTTTTTTTCGACCACAGACGACAGAACCTGGAACAGTAGTTCCGTAACTGGCGCTCTCCACTTCGATTTGCGCACAGGTTACGGAATCGCGACCACATACCAGACATTCACGATATGTTTTTAGTGCATTACGAGAGAAGGCCAACAGATCAGAAATACCCCAGGTGACGTGGCCGCGACCACATACCAGACATTCAAGATTTTTTAGGGCGTAGAAAAAAGAAGTTCAACAGACCAGACGTATCTACTCCAAAGGACGGAATTGCTACCACATACTAAACATTCACGGTATGTTTTTAAAGCACGACAAAGGAAGACCAACTGATCAAAAGTACATACTCCAGTCACTCCGCCAGTATGGACATGCTCTATGAACCAACGTCAACCACTGCTGTGTGTATTCTAAAGCGTAATACGCTGATTGAGAATACAGGCAGTCTGATTTCGAGCCTAACAAGTGTGCTTGTGTGCGAGTCAGCAAGACTGATAGGACTTTGTTTGAAGATATAAAACGAATTCCCAATGAGGATGGTTTGCTAAATTCTGACTGTAGTATGGATAAACAAGCAACATAATTCCAAGGTGTTTGATACAAAACAGGATGTTGATTTTTGGTTTAGCGTTTTTCTGGTCACCTGTAAAAATAGCAATCAACAAAAAACAGGTTTTGATAGATGCATATTTTTCTCCTTGATTTATAGTACTCGTATAAGAAATCATATAAAAATGCATTTTTGAACTCATTTCGCAATAAAGTAATTTCTGATCAAGTTTTTTATTTGAAGAAAGTGTGTCGGTTGGTTTTTAAAATATTTGGCCGTCCATGTATTAGTTTAAACATAATTTGCCATTGCACTTGCGTATTAGGCTTAAAAAGAACATGTAGGGTACTTTTTGATAAGCGACATCATGTATCCTACCGTGCCACTGGGAACAAATGATCAAACCCTCGTATAAATTGGCAATAAATACTGCTCCCCTCGGATATCTCGAAAGCTTAATTCGTAAATATGCCGGTGTTATGTCTTCAAATTTATCATATTTGCGGTTTCTTTCCTACGTCTTCATTAAAGGATAAGTTTATACTAATCCTTTCAACAAAATCAGGTCGGATACGAATATATATAGGCCGGCACTTTGGCGAAGGTGACCACTAAATCGAAAACGGTGGCAAAGGGATTTTTACGCGTGGGGTCATTTAAAGAAACGGACGATGCGGTCGAAATCATGTAACAAGGCAAATAGCAATGTTTACGTCACATGCTTGTTTCAGTGTATTAAATAACTCCGAATTCAACGGCACACAATATAAGAGGACCATAATAGGCAAACACGTAACCCTATAAAGAACAAGCTGCACGCCAATCCCTGGAAAACGACCAGGTAACTGATCCGGTGACAGGATTGCCAGACAACCCTCGTGAAGGCTTTCAAGGTTCTATTTGCGAAACCCCTCTTTATGATCATCCCCGTATTAGAAGTGGCCTTGCGTCAAATTGCTGTGACGGGGAGTGCATATATTCATATGCCACCAAAAAATGATTAACTCTAAAAGGGGGGCTGGGTCAGTGGGAAAACGTGTACGTATCATTCAGTCATTTATCAGTAGCTGTCTTGATTGCAGATAGCTGTAGGAACTGTCATCCAAAAGCCAGCATTCTGGTGTGTATTAAATATCTCAGTTTGATGTTGCATATTGGTCAGTCTCGCTAATTCATTTAAGTGACCGTTTGTAATCGAAAACACACTTTAGAATCCCAGTGTTTCATGAATTTCGTTGCTTATTCCATAGTTTAAACAAAGGTACTGCCCCTAAGAACGCAAGTTTATCGGCCTGATGTTCCCGGCGCGAGTAGCATTCATTCATACATGTACATTTAGCAGCCCATAAAAAGCACTTTAGGATGTTATTGCCGAGAGTGGTCATAATAAATTCATCATTATTTTTTGTCTAGGTTCAGTTTCGGAAGCGGCAGAGTGTTATGTCAAAGCCTAAGATCTCGTCGTGTGCACGGCCCTTCGAAATAAATGGGCACAGGTGGAAGGTAGACAATTTTTGTGTTTGCAGGTATAAATTTTCCTGAGTCTCTTCTCTGGTCAGCGATGCCGGTCATAACAGGTGCTTGCACCCCCCGGCACTTTTACGGAATAATTGTCTCCACGGCACCTGTATAAGGGTTTTGTCTTAATGTGCCTGCGCACCCCTAGCATTTAATAAGCCGGTGGGAGGGCCGGAGAAGTACTGATTAGTGCCCTATCTGTCTGTCAAGCCCTGAGCTTCATTCTGATCGTGTGGTGGGTCATTTGGCACGAGTCAACGTCTTGTAAAGCCAATCAGGTTCGTGGTACCGTGGTGCTTGGTTAAAAGAGACAGTGCACCACCACCATCAGCACTATCCTGACTTGATAGATTCTGCGCGTTTACAGTCGCCTAAGCATAATGCTAGTGAATTCTTTGTTGTCTTGTATTCAACAAATTTGAGAAAAGACATGCGGCACTCCGCCTTTTGGCACAATCTTCTTTGACTTCAAGGCAAGAGCAGTCTCTTTTAGCAATGTTGTCAGATTTTGGTCTCTAGCGTCGTCCTCTATTCAGTCAAATATCTATAGTCGCATTTTCTTTGACGCCTGTCTTCAGTATGTGATTTGGATCCACTTTTGAGGCAAAAATATTTCGGAAGCATAATTGTTTGACTACCCTGTCGTCCTTCTAGTTTCCGCGTGTGAACACCAATTCGTAGTTTTTTACAGACCACGATGCTTGTAAACTAGCGGGTGATTTTTCCGGAAACTCAAATCTCAGCAGCAGTCGCGCGACCGGCTATATGAAATGTTACATCCTTTGCATACTGTTTTATGTGCGAAATCCGACTTTATGGCAAAAAAGTGACAAAAGATCCCTACGGCTTCATTTTGAGTTAGGAATGTCGTGGGGCTTCCGCTTTTTCTTTTGCTTGTTGAATAACCCTTCTGTTGTGGAACACAGGAATCGGTAGGTTTCAGCTCTTTCTACGGTTAGTGGGAACCTGAAGCGGCATTTCACCTGAAAATGAGTTGCTGTACTTACCGGAGGAGTTTAATTTTTGATCTTGCCTACTTCCGGTCGGGAAAAATATTTATTAATAAATTAAAAATTGTCCTGCTGTCATCTTTCACATTGGATTTGTGAGAAAGTAACACCTTGCTGGATGCAAAACAATGTCCACATTCATGGTGTGAATTAAGTTGAAAAGGCCAAAATACCAGGCTACTATCAGGCCCTCAGTTTTAGTAGTTTCGTGACTTCCTTTTTACCTCGACAATTGCCCTTGCAAACTGTCAGCTCTAATTTATATAATCGTTAAAAATATATCTGCGCGGCTCTTAAAGACTGATTACTGTCGTATGAAACTACGTCCGCTAGTCCGGCGACTGCGCGCATACATCATGTACCGGGTATGCGCATGTGCATGATGCAAGGCCAAACCACAATATTCAACCGGCATTATGCAGTAAACGCAAGTCGCGGGACAGGGCATTCGAGTTCTAGATAGGGGGAGTTAGTGTTTCGTAGATAAAAGCGCCTAGCTCACTGGCGATCGGCAGTGACCAACAATTAGCTGTTTGAGCTTGCCATTTTGTACAGTCAGTTTCCCTTTATGAAAAAATCACCCGAACGGAAAAGCAATTTGCAACCGGTACAACCATGTTCTATCTATGTTGGTTTAAAAAGGCAAATAAAAAGCTCAAGGTACTAAACCGCATCAACGTTTAGGGTGATCCTTGGCGAAGAAACCGCCGAGGCCTTTGAAACAATTTGTTTTTGAGAGCACAGCCAAGGCAGCCGTACTTTAAGCCGCACCTTAAATATTTCCTGCCATATATTTCGCGTACACAAGTTGTAATGTCCCAAATTTGGACGAATCCTTGGAATCGAGAAATTAAGTCTGCTGTGTTGGCAGAACTGAAAAATCAACCACAGCGAATAAATATCAATGTAACCAGCATCTAGCAAGGTGGTTAAAGGAATTCCTGGCTTTAATCTGCAGCACAGGAATTATTGAGCCGTTTAAGAGCATCGTAATAAACTTCTCGGTTGCATCCTGTAATGATCTTCCGTGTTTCCAATCCCGTTAAATTACGGTCAGATCAACTAAAGAACACCGTAGGGAACATATCCACAGGAAGACACCTTCCATGGAGGAGCCCTCAGAAGCCGATAACACTGCTGTCCTGCCTGGTTCTTTATGAAGCTAGTGGTGGATCCGTTTACGACTACTCTGTCGAAGGCACCACGGATGCCAAGAGTCGGCACAAGGAAGTTAAACGCTTTCGTGTATTATATGACCGATCTCCATCCCTTCCTCTTGTCAGAAACTGCTCTTTGTCCCTGAGCGTATCGGACACCGGATGGAGTCTCCGTCTTTCTTCAAAAGATCGGAAATGCTACACTGGGACAGTGCGATTACATCGTCTAGAAAAAAAGATTTTTCTGGCGAATAAAACGCGTCTTGCACCGAGACTCTGACCTTTGGATCTGTAACGTGAGTGACCAACTACAAGGGGATGGAAAGACGCATGATGTTTGCGAAACAGCAACTTGCCTACAGAAGGACAGGAAGAAAGAAGTGCAACAACTGACCTAGCCCAAAGCGAAATTTCTGTAAACAAATTTGCTGCTTCATTCTTATCAGGAGATTTCTGTGTGCTTAGTGCAGCGACATGGTCTTTCCAAACTGAGCTTCGAGCTTGACCATAAGTGACATCCATATATTGTGAATACGTTTTACTCTGGTTTATCTCATCTCGTGTCCTTCACGGTAGAGGATAAAATAACACCGATGTCAAAGCATTTTTCTTACAATCAACATCTACTGTCACTTCACCTATTATCCGGAACCCAGATAAACACCGTGGCTGCGTTCCTGTGCCTTATTTAATTCAGTGCCACGTGGAACCACTATTACGGGTTACATGCAAAGAGATCACACTTGCTGGGGAACACCTAAAGTAATGAGGGTCGAATGTGACTTTTATTATGTCAGCAGTTAGATCAAAAGCCAGATGGTCTTTAATAAAAGCTTCTTAGTTAAACACGAATTTAGGACTTTAGTATATGCGGATTCTGACAGATCTTGATTGCAAGAACTCCCTTGGCGGCTTTTTGAACTTCTTCCATGTGTTCGACAAGGTTCCCCCTTTGGTCCATGGTATTGACCTAATGCTTATGTGGTTTGACAAAATCGATTGAGTTATCTTAACTACGGGGGGGGGGGGAATCAAACTCCAAGCTCATAGTGCGGATACTTACATAATGTAGTTTCAGATAAGCGAGGTTTTTAACTCACTGATTTTGCATATAGCCCTATGCCAGGGGACGTTCACCGATGTAGCCTCTTGTAGGAGAAGAATAGAGATTTCCGTTTCGTCATTAAGTCTTGCTCACGGAAGTCCTATACGCAGCCGCATAGTTGCAAGCAGTTTGCAATCGATGTGCTACGCGGAAGGACATGGGAGGGGGGACCGGGGTGGTAAACTCTGACTTATCTACCACCATCAGGCAATCAAATACCAGCTGTAAATCAGCACGAGAGACATGAACTTGACTCATTTAACTGTCGAGCATTCTCTAGTAAACATCCCACTAATGACTAATTACACAGTAGTCACCATTGCATGATTCCATGCAACTGACTACAACGACGCCAGAACAGTAGCTCCAGGCGAAAAATAGAAAACTGATTTACATTCGTTAATTTGACTGGGCCTGCGGAATGCGCTCTTATTAGATACTGAATTGTTTCGCCTGGAGTTGTCAAGACGTGATCTGTTGACAAAGTAGCATAACGCATTAATTACAATATACGATGAATAAGTAATCTGGGATCAAGCCGCTGATGCCATCTGCAGTTTGAACATGCTTACCAGATGACGAAAAATAAGCAAGAAATGCTGCCTCATTCTCCTTCGCAGTACTATCAACAGTTCCCTACTTTGAGCGGTAACATTACAGTGACAAAATTATCATCGTACTTCATGGCAGGAGAGGAGCAGTAGTCATCCATTTTTACCCCAGGAGAATCAAGGGACAGACAGTTGTTAGAAACTCGGCTAGACAAGGTCGGTTCGCTGGGTCTCAGAATTAAGTCGGCCAAATGGAGGGAGATCCGCCAAGGCGTAGTTTAAGTTCTACCAAAGACATTAACGTGGAGAGCTCAACGAAGCGGTTCGGTGCTGAGAAGTCACATTTGTATTCTCTATCTGATTAATCGGGATCTACTCAGTCTTCAAAATATGCAGAGGACACGACGGGCTGGATCAAAAAACAATCGGCTAGATAATAATAGAGAATAGGTAGGCCGCGAATATTTTTGACATCACCCACGACTGACACCCTTGCAGGCGCTCCGGAGAAGTGAACATTTAACATCAAATTATTCCAGGCCTCTCGCCTCTTTTCAATGGAACAGGAGCGGCACGGTGGAGCCCAATGTCTCAGTAAATTCCGACATGCAACAGAAGAATATTCCTTTTCGCACGTTGTAATCAATCTCATTCTCGCCTACAATATGCCGCCACATTACCTCAGTACTGTAATGACCAATACCTATGTGTATATTATTTTGGCGTACTTAAACTGATTTACGTGAAGTCATAATATCCAAGGATATTTGTCTAAAGTAGTCTTAAAATTTGAAATTACGCGTTTCCCTATTGCCATCCGAATTTTGTTAAATATTTCCCGATAGGGATAATTAAGCAGCCCTTTTATAGAACACCTTTAACGTATTTCAAAGCAATAGGTCAAAAACAACATAAACAAAAATGGGGGCTTCCAGCCCACCCACGTGAACTACAAGTTTACTGATGCGACGGAAATTAAATATCAACTTATTATGCGGTGGTCTATAGGCACCTGCCTGGACGATTGGTATTAAGTGTGGTGGGCGTGCCCACGTCACTTTCCAATAGAGTCAACTAAATGATCACATTTTGTCTTCCAGTGCGGGTGCATGCATATACGCCCAAATTTAGGGTTAGATACGGTTTGCTAAGGACCCCCTAATAAGCCGGAAACGACCACTCCAGTCTTCATTGCCCTTTCCGATAATTTCTTCATACATATATAGATATGGTAGGGGACGCTCACCGATCGTTCTTACGGAACTCACACGTTCCGTTGAGCCTTACGGGCTCTCTCTCGAGTCCAACCAGCAGCTACACAGCGGCGCATGATATGGGCAGAATACTATTACCGACAGAGACAAGGGAGACCCGAAATGGCCATTTCTGGCTTATTAGCCGTCGTCCGCCCGTCATACCCAATTCCGATGTGTGGAACACCCGAGGCTAGGACTCACGACCTGTTAGTTAGAAGTTCACGCCTCTAACCACTGGACCAATAACCCGTTGCCCTGTCGGTTTCGATCGGGAATATACAATGGCAGGGGGCGCTCAGGCGATCGTTCTTACAGACCACCCTTGTTCCGAGCCGTGGACTTCTAACTAACAGGTCGCGAGTTCAAACCTCTGGTGTAACACACTTCGGGGTTGGGTATGACTGGCTGACGACGGCTAACAAGCCAGAAATGGCCATTCCAGTCTCCCTTTTCTTTGTCGGTAATGACATACTGCCTATATATATAAATATATATAAATCAGAAACAGCAACTGGGTGACTGATCTACTGCTAACTACCGCAAAAGAAAAGTAAGCACTTACGATAATGGGACTGAAACCCCCAATACGATGTTATGAAACAGTTATTCTTATCTTTAGGCAGGCCAGCTTAATAAAAATTTAGGATGCAGCGGCGATAATATAAATTAAGAGAGAAATTGGATGGCCTTCTAATCGTTCTTACATATTCATCTTTCCTTCAAGTTGTGACTAACGGAAAGAGTTTACTCACTTACCATTCGATCCAAGAGTCGAAAGTTCCAAATGCTACTTTGAGGTAAACTTCCTTTCGTTTACGTTACTTTGGCCCACAGGAAAGCTTACAACCACCAAAAGCATAAACTGAGTGGCTTGATGATCAGAGCCAAATTTTATTCCCATGTAATCCTGTAAAGGCTAGAGTGGCTCAATTCGCTACATAAAACTAACATCGGCAGTGTAGCCTGTCACCACGATCTGCTTGTTAGCTTTCAATTCTTTGCAGAAACATATCCAAACAGTTACTTTTAAATTTTGGCACTTGATTTGATGGTACATTGGGCATTACAGTGACGTATAAGTGGGTGATTTGACTGACGAAAGCAACTTTCTTCGATCTTTTAAGGGTCCTTTGTTATTAGTATTTTCCGCTATATGGAAGGCGCTTGAAAAAAAACGCCGTATTTTTGTGATCAGCCTAGAGCACGTCGCCACCTTTTCAACTGCCTGTTTAGATAAAATCACGAGAGGCGAACCTTTCTGGCATTTCGTGGACTGACAGTTTCAGTTTACGTAGATATTCAATCTTTCGGAATGTACTGGCACCGTCAATCGGGAATTAGTGATGATCGCATGGAAGTACAAGTCAGTAGATAATGAAATTAGGGCTAGTAGGATGGCTAACGGAGACAAGAGGCGTAAAAAGAACAACAGCCACCCCCCTCCGTGAATCTTAATGAATGCGTAAAGCCGCAAAGACTGACTTACGCAACATGTAGTCGTCGTACGCGTCTACTGAAAATGGTTTTGTGCGTTTAGAGACCTTTCGGATGTAGACGTTTGTCACCCCGCGTGGGATGTGCACCGCAGTGACGAGACCTTGAAAAGTGAAAAAGCATCTTGACTTGCAGAAAACTGAATTTATTATCAAACATTTGTCTGAACAACCCCTTCAGTCCACGCTGTAAGTCTCAGGATGATATACTAAGATTGCTTTACAAGCTACGTCACGTCATGAGGACTAATTTCCAAGCCAAATAATCCGGGGGAGAGGGGCGGTAAGCAGGGGGAAGAGCCCTTGCTGACAGGTCGACATTAAGGCTTTCCGGCCGAAATGCATAGCATAAAAGTGTAGCCCATGACCGCTGGCGGCTGACAGGAAAATGGCTTACATTCTTTGATCCGAAGCCAAAAGAAGATCAGAGACCTAATAATATTTGGAATAACGCATAAGGATCAGAATCCCAAGCATTTTAACTAAGCGAAGTGCACTTTAATGACGACTAGGCCACGATGGATGTAAAGTCACATGACTTAACGGTCTAACTATGATAGAGCAGAACCCGAAATAATAACACATTCCAGAATTTCAGCCAACATTTCTTGAGATAGCATGCCTTCTGTACAACCCTTCGCTGAGCTTGTTGCAATAAACTTATCTTTTCGACGAAACAGAATCTACAGCATGAATGGCGTCCTGAAAGTCGCATTTTTGTTTACATAGACAATACTGCTGCACATTTTTGACAGACGAAGAGTCAGTCCTGCGCGGTTTTCGTTAATCCTTTCTGCCTGCGTTTTGAAAAATTCTTTAAATGACGAGACAAATGGAAGAGAACGATGATCAAATTGTAGGGGTCTAGGACCGCAAAGGGTCAATTTCGTCGGCCAACGGCCGACTGCACTTACCAACTGGTTTTGTTCCACGTGGTAAAACCTGCGAACCTCGAAATACACCAGTAACTTCCTCGCAGGTGCTGTTGTCGCCTCCGCAAACATTGCAGTTGTCCGTTTGCATTCGTGACCCCAAAACTCGATCGCAACCGGTCTTCTGAAAACAAAAAAAACAGGGTTAGTCTTGGGTCGTGATTTTTAATTGTAGATATGTCGCCTTGTTTGATTGTACTGGGGCAGTTGGAGTGCCGAAGAGAGTGAATGAGTGATGTCAGCGCAACAGACACTTTGACACTTGAATCATCACTGTTTCGAGGGTTTAGCGACGGCCCGTGTTTCGACTAAGATAAAGTATAAGGACTTGTGTTCTATCTTCCTCACCCTCCTCACAGCTTGCTGGTGCAGTTGCATTATAAAGTCAAGACGACGCAGGTTTGGTATGGTTGTAGTGGTTGACAAAGTTATGTAGGAGCCACACTTTAGAAATGGGTTTAGGACCTCTTTTTCTGTGGGGCTTATCATAAAGTCCTATTAAAGTCCCAAGTTCATTTCGTAGAGCAGTCGGCTTATGCTAGAAAGTTGCAACCTTCCATGTTAGGACATTTAATGTGTTATAATGGTTCAAAATGCATAGATGAGCTGCAATAAAAAAATTAAGCTTTACTTCCTCCCTCTCTGCCACTTATCAGCTACAAGCACCGTAAACACTGCTGGAGATGAGACTGGACGCAATGGTCGACATCCCATAAAGCCTGCATCTAATGTTTGATATAGGCAGGCGCATACTCTTGTGCACTCCTCCCTGTCCGCAAGCTGGGCGGTTTCATGAATCGCTTCTGAAAGGAGTACAGCAAAAAGTCGTTCATTGATCGTTTTGCGATAGACTCGCAGGTGTTCGATCAGGCCGATTAATTAGCGGAGAGTGTGGTCCCAATGAGAAAAAATTGGCAATGAGCCATAACTGCTGACGGTTGTTCTATGTGTCCCGGAAACGTTCACAAAAATGCCGGACCCTGGCGACCCATTTTTGGAACGCCTTGTAGCAATGATATGACTTCCTAGACGATGGCGATAAGTTTTGGTGGTTTGGTCGCGGTGACATTGCGGTGAATTTGACGGTGCCCAGCAAGGCTGATCCGAGACCCTGACGTGATTCGACAGCGGGTGCCTGCAAATGAACGTTGGCTACTAGTGGCAATGGTCCGCAGAATACCGGTACTTTATAATTAGCTTATATCTACTGATTTTTGCGGTATAGTTGCTTTAAAGATTGCCGTTATACTCCTTGTGTAAACTTCTGCCAGATATATATATATATATATATATATATATATGCGTATGTGACCCCACAGGAACAAGCACAACATAATGTCGGTAGTAAGAAGGGGGGGCATTGTGGACCGGCCTCCAATTTTGAACAGTATCGAGGTTTTTAGTCAGTCGGTAACCATCTGTCTAAGACATTTACCTGATAGGTTGGGGGGGGTGGGTAAATAGGACGTTTGATTGTTTGGGGTAAATACACTAGACGGTAGGTGCGTGCTAGACTGGCGTCACTTCTCTCTCCTTCGTGGATTCGGAACAAGTTCGAGACAAGTCTACTGGAGATGGTATTAGCTCCAGCGTTTTACAGCGTATAAACACATTAACCGTGGTTCATCAGGTGTACAATCCCATTCAGATACTTGCTGTCCAGTGAAAAAACACGTGTTTATAGGAAACATTTGGTTCCTCCGCATTTACAACCCGCGCCAAACATAACTGGAGCCTTTCGAATTTATTTTCCATCTCGTGCACTGTCTCCTGAATTATTCTTATAGAGAATAGCTTCGTCGTTTTACAACAGTAATGCACAGTTTAAACAAACATTCTACAAATATTTTCGGGGTAATTCTTCTAAATCACACTGAACGAATAACAGCCATGACAGTAAACAGATTCGATTAGAGACATGTTTTAAGTTTATTCATTTTTGAATGTGCTTGTAGCTATATTTTCAGGCATCAGTGACCTAGTCTGGAATCGGCGTCTTTTTAAACTTGAGCTAAAGTCATTGTCAAAGTTGGTTTTTTTCAATAGTAATATTAATGCTTGATACATACCCAGCACTTTCCTTGAATGCAAATATCATTTCTTGGCGGAAAACAGGGAGTACCATCCGGAAGGTTCATTTTGTGCTGTAATGCCTTGGATCCATTTAGACAGACGAGCTTGCAAGCTGAAGATTCTCCAACTGATTTTGGGTAAAACAGTAGGTTACGGTATGTCCTGATAGAAAACTTACAAGCGCAAAGGCCACAAAGAAAAGTAAAGGAACAATATGCAAGCCACGTCCATATTATGAAAAGACGGAGATGCAGGAGCATGCTAGACCATTGTGATTGAGATCATTCCGACATGGCGAAAAGCAGCACACGCCCAATACACCTTAAGATAAGCAGAATATTTCATAATACGACAAGATTTACCCACATTAAGTCTTTTGCCTAAGTTACCGGATAGTGGACTACACCTCAGTTGTGATCAAGCTGACTGGCATTGCCGTAGCTCGAATTCAAAATGAATTAACTTCGTCAGGTGTACTAGTGATCGTAATTGTGCCGCGCGCATGTAAGCACTTATCCAGTAAATTATCTCATTAAAGATGTCATTTGGTAAACATCGAAACTGAGCTGGAATAGAGTAATCATTTCAGCACGGTTCACCTCGGAAGCGTGGAGCCTATACGAAATTGGTGGTCAATTAAGAAATGGAGACCTTCCGGTAGTTTACAAATAAATAAGGAGTAAAGAAGCACAGCTAAAACATGTTTCTAATAAAGGCACTTTTTCTATTCAAATTAAAATGGATCTAACCAACTCCTTCGTGCGTTTTATTCTACAGGAGGGGACGATTCCAAGCAAACCTAGACTTACTTCTACCGAAGTCAGACATAGGTTCGGTCTTCCTTGTCTGATCATTTTAAGAGAAAATTAAGAGGCTGACATCTGCGCACATATCCCCTTTGTAAGTCCATGTGCAGAACATAAAATATTCCAAATTTTCTCGCACAATATCCTTGGTCTACGGTCGACTGAGGGCGAATTCAAAAATGCCTAGTTAACTCCTGTCCAGCTAACTTCCCGAAGAAATTCAAAAGAGGAGTTTCATAAATGATAGTGGTCAGAACGTAGGTCTGGCTGATGATCAAGCATGTTTCCTCCCAACAATAAACCAAGGAAGCAGTTAGGATTAATCATAAAGGGTATGATCAAGAAAGAAAGAAGAATGTATGAATAACCCATCAAATTAAATTATTTCCTTAAAACCTAAAGCTGGTGTGCAATGGGTCGAGGAATTATGTTGGCTTCAACCATTTCCTTTTGCCAAGCAATTCGAAATTCAAAAGTCTCCTGCTATCTGCCCTCGGACACCACAGAGCATAAGAGGGAGCTAAGAGGTTTTGTGCTCACATTTAGGATTGTAAGCCCTCAGCTCTAGCCCAACTTCGGCACCGACTTTATTGCAGAGCTGTTGCCGGGTATCCGTTGAGGTAGCGCACGCCTGCATGTCAAAAATATAGAAAACACCATAGGTAATAAAAACTAACCCTGCTTTAAGGAGTAAGAGGCGTATTTTTCTTCAGTGGGACATGTGTTGCTTGTTTTTTCTTTTATTGGCAGGTTAGATTACTGATGTAGAAAGACTAGTAAATACGTTTTCTGAGGAGTGAGAGGTCAAAATACAGTCGAACCCCCACAATTTTTGGTTATTTCGCATAACCCCACTGGTCACACGGTTTTTGGCCTTCATGTCTAATTTTTGTGTTGGCCAAAAACGAGGATTTGCCTGATGTTTGGACAGTCCCATCGTGACCTTATGGACACGGACTGAACAGTCAATTTTGGTCATTGAGCGGCAGTGACAGAGCTAAATGTAGCAGAAATTACTTGTCTGGCAGTCTAGTTGACTTCCACGTTTAAGTATATGCTGCTTGTAAACCGCGCTCGAAAAGATGACTCTTTTAGTGGTTTCGCGCGAAACTTTCTACTTCTTTAAATGGTATTACAACTATAGCGATGATTAGATGGCTAATCATTCAGCTGAGAATGAAGGACGTGAGGGAGGGAGGTTTGCAAAATTCGATATTTGGGAACATAGAAGTAGTTATTGGGGAAATGCTTCTGAGAAATGTAATGTGTTCCGAACTTACGGAATAATATTTGGCCTCATAAAAGTCCTAGGTAAACGTACCTCGAGGTTGCAGGATCTGACTTGTATGTCTGTTCCCAAGCAATAGTCTCCACCATATCGAGGGCTGGAGGCGGGGAAGAGTATTCAAACCCAAATGTTAAACCCGAAACGGATTTAAACAAAATGAACGAAATAACTGTTCGGCATTCCAAAGGTCTATGTAACTGACAATTGACCGGTTTATGAAGTTGGTTCAGAATTTGTTTGAACGGAAAAGATAAAGTATATTCCCGTTTTACAATTGAACTGATATTGTTTCTCTCTCGCCAGTAATTCCTCAGATAAAAAGTGCAATCGAAACAAAAGAAGTCATCTATTTTTAATTCCTGAAGATGCTTTGTACGTGGATACATACTAAAGTCAGAAGTCAGCTCCAAAATAACATTGGCGTAGCTGCGCATGAAACATAACCCTACTCCGATCATATCATTTCGTAAGTGTGTAATTCGCAAATAACTACTATTAAAATTGGAAGCTGGGACACTTCGCAAATAAAGAAAACCGTTATGTTGAAACCAAGTGGTGATTTTTTGAATTTAGGCCCAGTTTTAGGCCACACCAGGCCGCAAAGGGGGCGGGGGCGTTCTTCCAATTTCACTCAAGTGACTGAACGCGTGCAGCCTTGGGAATATTCAAATGCGGGGTCACAAAATTCATTCATTCGACTAGCGAACAGAAATCCAACATTTTGCTGAGCATACACCATAAAAGTAGTGAAACATAAGTGTGACCCTTATCACTAGCAGTTTCAGCCCATTTTCCGTCCACCAACCGCCTTTGTCCATCGCCTCTGCTGTGTTTGAGCGTGGACCTAAAAGACCAGGCAACTGAGATTTCTACTTCGGCGATTGCGTCCTCCTCAGTTGTACTCTTTCGATACGCTAGTGTACCAAATACAATCACAATGTTTCAGGTTCGCCTTTCTGACAGACAAATTTTAACAGGCAGGGGAAAGTGCATGCAGGAAATATTTGCAACTTACACAGGAGATGTGCATTCACGAGTTGAATATTGAACACCGCCACCGCATTTGCGAGAACAGGTACCCCATTCACTCCAGTTGCTCCAACCACCATGGACAGGCGCTGTCAACTCGCTAGTTAACTGGCAGTTTCCTGAAATACACCACTGGGTAGAAAAAAAATGACGTTTTTACACAACAGAAATGTTTAAATGATGATTAAGAGTGATCTGTGGGGAAATGAGTCACGTCCAACGTAAATAGCTTCAGTTTCCCGACCTCGTCATTTCATGTTCGAATGTTCTGCTAACTAAGCGACTAAGTCCGTTAGCTGTGTGAATAAGTCGGAAATCCATTTTTCTGACTATTACAGTGATTCTGCGAAGCAGCGGGACCGATCTTTTTTAGCGTAAAGTCGATAGCAGTTACGGCCTAAATTAGACTTTAGTTTTGACATTCAACTTCCACCTAGAGCTAATAGGAAATCCAAACGTTTTAACAGTATGGGTCTACTGCTTCGCGTGGTCCGGCAGTCCGTTCATCTGATCCTCATACTTCAGGCATATTTAAAAAGCTTAACTGAAAAATGAAAAAAATTAAAGTTTTGTGGAGATTTTTTACGCAAGGAAGAGGCGCAGGAGAGTACCTTACACCTCGTTTTCTATGCAAGTAAGAAAACACATTGCAGGGAGAAAGGACATGGAAGGAGACATAAAAGGTTTCTTTTAAATCCATTACGCTCCCAAAAGTCAAAGAGTCTGATGAAAGTACCTTTTCGTCGCCGCAGCTGGAACCTTCTGCCCAAGGTGCTTCCACTGCCAAGCACACGCCCCGCCGTAAATCGAAACAGAACAGCTGCTTGCAAACCGGCATCTAGAGCAAAAACGAAAATAACACCTTAGTAACCAGGATGTGAATGGTAAATCGCGGTTACATACATAATCAGTGAATATGACTGAGCCGGTGAACAAAATGCAAAGACACAAACCCTTGTATGACACTGTAAGGCAAATTCTGCTTTGCTAGCTATTAGCGCATACGTACATAAATGCTGATGTTAAATGAATTCACTGAGGAGGCAGCAAACCAAGTGCGTAAATTATAGACGCTGATTGCAGAGGACGACGTCAGACGCACAGTAATTGTATTAAACAATTGAAAGTTCAAATGCCTAAAACCAATACATGTCCAGCGTTTGCGTCAGTGGGCGCTGGCTGTTTGCCATCGTCCCGCTTGGATTGACTGTTGTCTCTTCCATACCTTCTTGAGACTTTTGTGCGTGACGTCCAACTCCGCATATGGACAGCTGTTTGTCCCGACGAAACTCTCAGCCTTCTCGAATGACCAGACGCCAACAATGAGAGTTTTGCGAAAATTCCCATATTACAATTGAAGGGTCAGCTGGCAAACATATGTTTTCGGTAATTCATCATTAGGCCAGTACATTCACATGGGTAATGATCAGTCTAATTGTCGACAGGATATAAATGAGTCTCGGGAGCAGGGTTAATCGGACTCCACGTTCCCACACCATCCGCATGACGGAGTCAACGTGTTGAGAACGTTGGAGTTGGGGTGGGAGGGAGGGGGGGGAAGGAGTTGGGGTGGGAGGGGGGAAGTAGAAAGGTTCCGGTTAAATTGTAAGCGCTGTGAGTGGGTGTGACTGCCCTCAGTGCTTCGGGACGGCGTGCGATCACCGTCTGGAGCCGGCCAGGCCAGACATACTGTCTGTGTCAGCGTCTTCTGACGACAGAGTGCTGGGTTCGCCAGTCGAATGGCCACTGCTTCGGCCGTGGCTAGCACCCGTTTGCGCAGGCATTTAGAGTAGTGTGCCGGTGCCCGGCAGATAACTTTAAAAGCTTCTTTAGCGTCGCCTTGTGGTTCGTATCGATTAGATGTGCGAGAATTGAACTCGAAATCGATCGATGTTCACCTCCACCTAGCCAGGCAGGCATGTGTTTGCGTATCCTCTTTTCCAGACGACTGGTTGTACGGCCAATATATACCGTTCTACAGGAGAAGGTGAATGAATAAATACGCGTGGATGTGGCATGGATGCGGCAGCCGGTCTTTGCCCCCAACCGTAGTAGGGGGGAATTTGCGAAGAATACGCGCAAATTCGCCACGGGGAAGGCACTCGCGAGAGCTGTCCTAAGACGTCGTCTCACTAATTCGCTCGCTGCGTCTCCTAGAAAAGGTAGTCGTAGACATAAGTCTTTCTTCTCTGCAGTTGCAACGGCAGGTTTTGTGACACGCTCTCTAATATTCCGGAGAATGAATCGCTCTGGATAGCCGTTTTCGCGGAGCGTGTTTTGTAACCGTTGGAGTTCTGCTTCAACAGTTTCAGGTGAGCAGCTGCGTCGCACTCTAGCAGCCAGTCCCTCGACTAAATTTCGTTTTAGATTTAAGGGAACAAAACTGTGAAAATTAATGTATTGTCCCGTCCAGGTTTTCTTTCTGAATATCTTGCGTTGGACGGATCCATCTTCTTGTCTGTGTAGGAGGACATCGAGGAACGCGATCGCGTTATTCGCCTCGGCCTCTGCGGTAAACACCAGAGATGGGTGCGCCTCGTTAAACTTCTGAACTAGGCCATATATGTCAGTGGTATGACTCGTCAGGCAAAAGCTATCTCCCACGTATCGACCGTAGAATTTAAGGTCATCAATGGTATCTTTGAGACTCGTTTGTTCGACTTTGCCCATGAAGACATTTGCGAGAAACGGTCCAAGGGGTGAACCTATTGCCACATCGTTTATTTTTCTGTATAGCTGGCCATTGTAGAGGAATTGGACATTCTGTGTGCATCGCGTAAGTAGTTCTTTTAGCGTCTCCACTGTCATGCCGATCGGGTAGTTTGTTTCCCTGATGAAGTCGCCCAGAAAGTCTATTGTCTCCACTACGGGTACCGTTGGTGAACAGTGATGATACATCTAACGAGAGCATCGTTTGTCCGTCCACGTTAATGTTCTTGATAAACTCAAGGAACTCAAAGGTATCTTTCAAACTTCGCGGATACAGGCAACTTTGAAGCGGTTTTAACTTTTTAGACTGATCATTACCCAAGTAAATGTGGTGGCCTAATGATGAATTACTGAAAACATATGCTTGTCAACTGACTCTTAAATGAGTTTTGTTCAAATAAATGTGCGTCTAGCATTCACAGTATGTACAGTTACTTCGAGAAGGCAGCCTCCGCCTTTTAAGATTGGAGGTGGTCATGTAGACTTGGTTAAGCCCCAGTGAGGAGAGAACTCCCGTTTTGGAGTCGTGCGTTAGTGGAAATATCGAATTTAAGGAAATGAAGTAGACAAGTAGCAACTGAAGCGCGATAATTGCATACAACGTGCGCTAGATTTTACCGATGTTGGGTACAGATCGAGTTTTAGGCCCTTTGAATCCCAAAGGTTATGCACAATTTCTGTACGTCTAACTACGGTCTGACAAACTATCGTCGAGTGGTTATGAAATAAAGTTTGCTACCTTCCTAACGACCTTAACCTAGGTTTGTTGCGATATCCATCATCCGTTTCAAGGAGGCAGGGCAGTTTGACGGTCGCCGATGACGATGTCCACTTCTGCCTGCCAAGGTGATGCAAAGATTACTTGGGCCGAATTTGTGCTGCATCTATGGTACTTCCTCTTTTTAGGCCCACTGTGTTCCCATACAAGATAAAGTCAAGACGACCGGGAATGGGCATGGGCGTAATTGCCGACAGGGTTAAGGGCCCGTCTACGCGTGCCACCCACGGCGCCGCCGCAATCTATTGGCCTCCACAACGGACTGCTCTGCAAATGCTCCGGATCGAAAAGACTTTAGCATGGTGCACATTATTCGGGCAGCGTAGAGTCAGCGGGGATACATATCTATCGCCATACATGCGTGCGTGGGCACGCACCACGCGCCATACCGACCCCTGCTTCCAGTCCCACTATCCGTCGATGGACAGTTTCGGACGTTTGTCCAGTGAATGAAAACGGGAAGAGAAAGCAAGACTGGTACTCCGGAATGCATCTTCGCAGCATATCAGCGCATTCCTTAGCATAATAAATTCGACCGGTTAGAATCTATCATGACGCGTTGATGGTTGTGGTCTCCAAAGTTGTCAACTGACTGGCAACATATATGCGTGTACCAACTGCGATATCACAACATCAGGTCTGTTTTCATATTTAACGTTAGTTGATTCATCTAGATTCTTACAGTACCATTCGTCGACTGGTAATTAATTGAGGAGACATCTGAAATACAGTTTCCTTCTTCCGAAGAGCAATAAATCTCGAAGGCAGGGTTCGCGAGGAGAAAAGAGATAAGGGCTGCATACGGTTTGGGAAGTAAACCGTGTCTACCTTCACAAAACCTGCATAGTACTAACCACTAACAAACCTGTGTAAAGTGCTATACTTACAGAATGGCCGCAGAATTTTGACCCTCGTTGTCTCACTGCCAGTTCACATTGCTCATCCAGGGTAAAGTTGAGTCCTGGTTTACTTCTAGTGACGTGTATGCTTAGTAAGTCTGGTGTTAGTGCCGTTCTTTTAGAGTTTTGTATACGTAGGCATGAGGAATGAGGTTGGCTAAAATAAATACACAAAGCAGGCTATGACAATTCAAAAGATCTTGCAGTAGAAACTGGAAAAAAATTGTGTTAATAGTAATGCAGTAGCAATAGCAATACAAGTGCTAATAAGCAAATGGTTTGCATCATCAAAGTCAGCATCAACTATCCACTCCATTTGGGCATTTCAAGGTACATGACAGAGTGATGCCTGCTTCATGCACAGACTGCCAAGGATGGGTAATGTGTGAGTGAATATTTTCTTGTGCAGTGAGCATGGCATATGACATCGTCCATCCAACATTTCTTAACAATATCTCCGGTAGGTGCAGAAACAACCCTAGCAGAAGGGCTTTAGATATGCTCTCGTATGACAAGTTCAGTTCCAATAAGCAGTATGTCTGGAAAATTCCCAGTTATGCTAACATAAAAGTAAAGGTTGCGGTCCGTGAGAGTCGCCTTCCTGAAGATTCAACCACCGGAGGCAGTTTTAACTTGCGGCATTTCGCAAGATCCAGAACACATGACTCTTCAATAAATGGGTCTGAAAGATGAATAGTCCAACGCGATCTGGTTCCAAAAGGAAGCCCAGTTTTCTGGAGTATGTAGCCTTACAGAACTAAGTGAGCTTGTAAGAAGGCTCATTGGTTTTATCAGTAACACACTTTCATTTTGCAAGGACATTGTGGTACGGCAGTCCACTTGGCTGATAAGAAAGAGTAAAAATGCCACTTCAGGTTTATTTGAGAACTAATTGAGGATGGTAGGCTCAAACGAGGTCCTTTGAGCACGCCATAAATACTACACATTTCCAATAAGTTACTCCGAATGCGGAGGGGCGAATGTAGGTTTGCTTTAGGCGAATTCTTGTTAGGCCCATGAATTTATGTGCGTACTTGGTTAAGCAGAACACACGAGCTGTTTAACTAATCAGATTGTGTTTGTGGTTCATTCGGGTGGCAGGTAGGAAGCAACGGTTAAGACGATCAGCATAACTTGGTCGGGGTAGACGTGAACAGACTGGGTTCGGGGCGTGGAGAATTGCGTGTGATTAGAAGTGCAATCGGTTTCCTTTTATGGCGTCTACAGGGTCTGCAAAAAATCTTTTAATGCAAAAAGGACCGATTGTGGCGGTTATTGTTGTTGCCTGTAGACTGCGCTACTATTTTGGCATGGGATAACGTAACTTCGTAAATCGCTCAGAAGGCTTCTTTGGGATCCACGCGATGCTCGAACTCAGTCAGAGGTGCGATAACTAACACATATTGAAAGAGAGCGTTCCCGCATTACACACATGATCACATATGATCACGTGTATTCTACTCTTCTGTTATATCCGTGAACGGCAAAAAACTAACAGAAGTTTATAACTTTCGGCATAGCATAGGACCAGGATGCTCGGTGAAACAAAGTGGTAGCCAGAGCCAAGTGCATTATTTGTAAAAAAACAATTGCATGCAGAACCTGTGACTGACCTAAGAAGCATTTAATCGCGGGATTCATCTAATAAAAGTTACCAATGCAAAAGTTTGGCTTAGCCAAGCAGGAAAAGGAGATCAGTGTGTTACACCAGTCATTGACTGGTCTCATAGATGTTAACCGTAATTCAGAAACGCCTTTTCGGTTAGGAAGGATTACCTTAGTGGGGCTAGAAGAGTAATTATCTCGCGAGTAATCCCGTAATACTGCAGACATTTCGAGGCGTTGGCTTCCAAATGCACTTCTTTGAGGCCGCCTACTTCAGCAGTGCACTTTCTTCCAAAGTTCACTGCCCCAATAAACTCAGATATATTTCGCAGAAAACCCACAAAAATGTTGTTTCTTCTACTCATCTGATAGAAAACCATATCTTATTTAATTTCTATGTTCGACAAAAAAGTAACTTTTAGATTTAAAGTTTTTTAATTTTCGAATAATTTTGAACTTTATCTGCTGTTGCATTTTCGTTTAGGGTTTTAGTCTTCAAGCTGTACACTTTCTGTGTTTGGAACAACATGCAGTCCTTTATGCCATTAAGAAAATGCAAGTTTTTCAAAGAATATGGATTATGTTTTTTAGTTAATGAGGGGTATTATTAACGACTCATACACGATGCTATTTGAATGGAACTTGCATTGTCTTTAACAATCTCATAATTGGAAGTTTTTTTGAAACCGAACAGTACTCTATTTTCGAGTGTAAAATGTGAAGAAGATATGATATGCTACCAAACAAATACAAGATAGAGTATTTTTCTGCATGTTTTATGGACAATATCATTGAATTTATAAGGCCAGCTGAAATTCATATATAAGATGAATATCACTTTAATCCTTTTTTATCGGATGCGGCTTTTGCAAATGACCTTAAAAAAGTGTACTTAAAAGTCAACGTCCCAAATTGCCTGAAATAAAACGATATTATCCTACAAATTAATCAATATGACAACGCCACTTCCTAATCAAAAATGGCTTTTAGAATTTCAAGTAGCATTTAAAGAGATCGGTCACTCACAGTATGCTCCCAAAAACTACACATGAAATGATATGCGTTGCAGGAGGCTTCACGCGTTATTTTATATGGAAGAAACTAGAAAAATATGAACGAAGAAAACCGAAGCACAGAACTCACGAGAGGAAGTTTTTGATGCTTGCACGGCTGCAGGCAGACCAGCGAAATGGATAGAGTTCGAAGTTGAGAATTCCTGACATTAGCGTGTTCCGGCTAGAAGGTTTCCCCGAAGAGTCGTCAATGTGCAAACTATGAAGCCTGTTACCGAGTGGCTGAGTAACGTCGGAGCTCTGGGAGCCTTCAGAGATACCACACTCGGAACCAATCTCGAAGTCATGTTTTGCACCAAGTCTAGATAGAAGGATGCGGTCGACATTTTACTGAAGCCATTTTGAGAGATTTGTTGACAAAGCTGGAGTTAGAAACATCCACTCAAGTCTGTCCCATCTAAATTCGCTAAGAAAATATGCCGATCAAGATGTTGCCCCGCGCTTTGGTCCAAAGGCAACTTCATGCTGAAGTTTCCATCCTATGACATTAGTTACTGTATCTGTGATAACTAACCTACGAGGACAGACATAGAATTCAATGCCTATTTAAAGCAGCAGTCGACGAAATTATGCATTTCGATGGAATCACACAGTGCACATTCAGCGAAGTAACTAGGTGTAAGTTAGTAGCTAGATTTATCGAAGAACCAGTGGACACCAAACCAGTGCATGACTTACCATCAGATGACTTATAGATTCTTTAATATTTTGAAGAACATTTTGCGAGCTTGCGCTTGCTTTTGATAAATTCTCATCTGGCCTATATATTTATATGGGAAAAAAGTACAAATTGGACGTGTTCTGCGAAAATTCCCATATTAGAATTGAAAAGTCAGTTGGCAAACCTATGTCTTCAGTAACTCGTCATTAGGCCAGTACATTTACATGGGTAATGATCTTTTTAGTTGTGGACAAGATATAAATGTGTCTCAGGGGGCAGGGTTGGGCAGACTCCGTGTTCCCACGCTGCCCTCATGGCTGGGTCAGCGTGTTGAGGACGGTGGAGTCGGGGTGGGAGGGGGGAGGGAGAGGGGTTTCAGTTAGGTTGTAAGCGTTGTCAGTATGTTAAACACGCGGAGTGCGCCTGACTGTTCTCAGGGCGTCGGGACGGCGTGCGATCACGACCTGAAGTCGGCCAGGGAAGACAGACTGTGTCAACGCCTTCTGACAGCAGAACACTGGGTTCGCTAATCGAATGGCCACTGCTTCGGCTGTGATTAGCGCCCGTTTTGTGTAGGCCTTTAGAGTGGCGTGCCGACGCCCGGTAGATAGCTTTAAAAGCTTCTTTAGCGTCGGCTTGGTGGCTCGTATCAATTAGATGTGCGAGAATTGGACTTGAAATCGATCGATTTTCCCCTCTGCCTAGCCAGGCAGGCATTTGCCCGCGTACCCTCTTTTTTCCAGACGCCTTGTTGTACGGCCAATACATCCCGTTCCACAGGAGCAGGTGAATGAATGGATGTAGCCTGTAACGGTGGTCAGTATTTGTCCCCCGACCGTAGTAGGGGAGAGTTTGCCAAAAATACGCTCAAGTTCACAGAGAGGGCACTCGTGAGAGCGGTTCTTTTATGTTAACAGAACTCACGTAAGTACTTGATGACACTTTTTATTACAACTTTTACTGGAAAAATAGAACACTATAGCATAAATGAACAGTTTACTTCAAATTTGCCATCTATAAATCTATTTTTCGGCGTCCATTTAGTTATTATTCGAATGAAATTAGAAATGTGCGGGCTTAGGGTCAGGGGCTTGGTTTGTTATGCCCAAATTTTACAACTGCCGATGATGCTCTGACTGAAAAAGGGAATACCCGTTCCTGACCTTGGTTATATGTGAAGTGGAGGAAACGCATCCTGAGATACGTTTGGTGAGACTCCCTTTAAGGCGAATACTAGACGCTGTTCTCCACAGAAGTTAATGACGCATCCCATTGAGGATCATAACGGACATTACAGTAAGCTCAAATTTGGTCGATTCCGATGATCTTAAAAAGATTTTATCGGTCGTTGTATCTTAAAATAAGAGTAAGTGCTATGCAGTTCGTTGTCCTCTCCTTCATTTATAAACTACTTTCTAATGCGAAAAAGGAAAATAAGCTGATCGCTTCGTACAAGCAGGATGGTTGGTCTGTGCCCCGTAGCCCGCTGGTTGTATGGGCTATCTATGAGCCGGTTCACGTCACCGCATACTTCGTCGTCCTTCATGGATACCCACAAGATAAAAAATTACACATTCATGACTACCGTGGTTCAGCTTCTCCTGACTCTGTGTTGTCGCTGTCACGTATGTTAAACTGGTTATTCAATGAGTGCGATTATTTGTGAAATTAAGAAAAAGGACAGCAGCCTTTCAAAGGCATACTTTCTCAAGTTTTGAGACATTTCTATCGAATATCATTATTAAACTCCTATTTATTTATCTCCTTTGAGACGAAGTTTCTCTGTAAGAGGCAATTTTGCTATCTTTTTGGGAAAAGGTAGCAAAATGCACAATTCCCGCCTCAGCGTTTTTCCTCAACCGACAGTTAGCTTACGTGAAGTCTTGGCACGCGCAATGCCCGCCATACAACAAGTGAAACTAACAGATACCAACTGTTGCACACTCGCTAACGAACATTCAGTAGTAGCATTACTGTGATTTATACAGGAACAACTTACTGATGGCCCAGTTCGTGGGCAATTATATCAGCAGTGCCGAATCCGCGGTCGACTACAACAAGACAACCACTATCATGACTGCACATGGCCTGGTAGTGCGCAACTCCTGTTAGGTGTAGCAAAAAGACAATTTGTTAGTTTATGTATTGCGGCACCGGAAAAGCCCTTTCACGGGCATGAGATAGCATGCATTAAATGTCATTGTATTTGCTTTTTTCGAAGACAATATCAATATCACAAATGTTTCAGAGACGTGGACTTTGAGGCCTTGTAGCTCTATAAACTGAAGATTTCGGCATTTCGGGGGCCACAAACGGGAATCAGTGGTCAAATAGTTACAGACCACGGTAGATTATTAACTTGCGACTTCATCACAAAGGTCTAAAAATCCTCGTATTTCCTTGTACTTCGAAAAATCCGAAAGTAAGTTAGTATGCTTATAAACAAAAAGAAATTCAAATGCATAGTTTACATATTTCCTACTCTCAGTGATTGGACGTCATATTCTTCATCGTTGTCATTAGTTCGTTACTAAAAATAATTATTCACATTTCTTTTGCTACAACCATCAGGAAAACCTTCATTTTCTCCATGAGCCCTCTTTTGACGGTATTTTTTTCAGCTGTCTCTATTCGGCCATGCTATTTTCAGTCAGCAAAAGGCGAAAAATACAATGAATTTGATTAGCGAAAATACAAAGTAGCCTTCATGAATCAAGGCGTTTAGTTATTGACAATCCGTCTTTTAACTAACTAGATATGCAGTATATTTGTTCGTACAAAATACTTTAGGGATGTAATGCGATTGACTAAGTTTCAGCCGCAGAGATCAGTAGGCATTCGGAATATGTCAAAATCACCCCAAGTAGTTGCGACTTTATGTATTTTCTCTTCTCATTAGCTAGAGTAATTGCCAGGAGGACGAAAGAAGTACTTACCCAGTGCTGTAGATTTGAAGTTTCTAAAAAAGAAATGAGACTTTGTTAACGTGTAAGCCGGCGAATTATAACTAAAGATGCACTATTAACGAAATGTTATCCATATTTTCCTACTGATATTCCTCGAGGCCCCAAAAAGGTCTTCCCCGCTCTTATACTAAACCGAAGCTCTGGGACCATATTATCTGCTGATACATGTTAGCCAGAATGCGCTGAGTCTCCCGAGTCCTTAGCTGATGTGTTATTACTGTGCTACCTGTATAGGTAGGCTATTTTATTTTGTAAGTCACTGCGCTCATGCCTATCTCCAGTGGCTTTAATATTTTCTTGCCATTAGAGCACGGTGTGCGTTTGAGAAAAAGACTAAGATAGATGCCGGGTCCACTTGTTTCAGTGCAAAGGAATTCACAGGGAGAAGATGTTTTTGCGGAGAGGGGTTTATCTAAGGCCTGCTGTTTCGAGAGGGAAGAGTCTCTGAAGATGGGTGGACGAAGCCACTACGCAAAACCCCAGTCTTTATGTAAATCTCTCTCCTCAAACGCATCTTCTCCTTTTGAAATTCAGCCTGGAAATCACATCTTCATTTCTGCAGAGGATTTCGTACGCTCGATTCCGCCTCGCAATCCTAGAGAAGCGGTAGTCCTCATCTATTTTGATGAGTTATTTATTACTGTTACCGCTAGCTTCTTCGTTACTCTCCGTCTTTTCCAGATTCACCGCTTTATTTTTTTTGCTATGCATATTTTGATCCTCGAAAATTGTTTGAGAATATCTTCCCACATTTATTTGAAAGAGCGGCACTGCTGACGGCATAGTAAAGGTTACTTCATGAAACTGACTATGGTCTATACGTATTGATAGCAGCAGTTTTACGTTTTGTTTTAAGTCGCACCCAAATGGCGATTTCTGACCGCACGAGTATTCGTCTTGCTGGTAAACTTCCGCTAAATAGGAAATAAAAGTAGACACGCGCATCAAATTTTCGAAGTAGTTAATAAGATTTTCGTCACCCATTATTGAATATAAGCTCCCAGTTAATCGGACAGTTTGAAAAGTAGTGATGAATTTTTGCCTGATATGCGTTTATTGTAAAGGGTAAAGTCTAAAAATATATTTGGTACGAGGGAGAAGGTATGCCAAAAGAAGATTTCATTGCCAAAAGAAGCGAGCAGGCGAGTTCCAGGCAGCAGTTCAGAACACTGTCAATGGGATAATTGCTCGCCCCCCCTCCCCACGTGATTGATCCCTCTTCGTAGGGAAAATCTCAGCACGGAATATGGTACCGGGAGGTCATTGCGCTTGTTGATGGATTGCGGGCTTGAGAACCTTGACTCGAGCAGCTCGCGGCTTACGCGGTTGTCACCCCTTACGAGGATTTCGCCATCTTGAAATTTGAAAATATGGCCGGATCCCATCGAATGTGCCGCCACCTGAGAGCTAGTGTCTCACCCCCTCACTGCTGCTGCGTGCTCGGCAATTCGCGTACGGAGTAATCTCCCAGTTTCTTCGTCGTTTTCGTATGCACTGACTGACAATGGCTACCCGCGCAACTTTGTCAGTCAGTGCATACGAAAATGACACCAGAGACCAAATCCAACCGGTCCCAAATTTTGGCGGGCTCTTCCGTATGTGAAGAACGTCTCGGAAGCCGTCAGTCGTTTGTTCACTCCACTTGGAATTGGGGTTGCACACGGGCCGGAAGCAACCATTATGCACAAAGTCATGAGGCCGAAAGACCCACTGCCACGGCAGAAGTCTGAAGTCGTTTACTGGATCTGATGCAGTTGCGGACAAAGCAGCTACGTCGGTGAAACTGGGAGATTACTCCGTATGCGAATTGCCGAGCACGCAGCAGCAGTGAGGGGGTGAGACACTAGCTCTCAGGTGGCGGCACATTCGATGGGATCCGGCCATATTTTCAAATTTTAAGATGGCGAAATCCTCGTAAGGGGTGACAACCGCGTAAGCCGCGAGCTGTTCGAGTCAAGGTTCTCAAGCCCGCAATCCATCAACAAGCGCAATGACCTCCCGGTACCATATTCCGTGCTGAGATTTTCCCTACGAAGAGGGATCAGTCACGTGGGAAGGGGGGGGGGCGGGCAATTATCCTATTGACAGTGAGCCAATTTGCCGAGCAATTGTCACACCAGCATTCAGCACGGATGACAAAATCACGGGGATTAACGACTCGGACTGGGACTGCGAAGCCACCGCCGCATCAATTACAACCCCAGCGGTGATTGCGAGAGCTGTTAGTTACAGTGCGCCTGTGGCCCCACGGCAGCCGAGTGCTGTAAATACTGCACCTCTTGTGCCACCATCACTTTTATCTGCGACTGTCTCTGATAATGGATTCGAACGAGAATCCGAAACGTCAGACCAATAAATTTCTTGTTCCAGTGATCGCATCTTCGTCTTCTGAAGATGTCATTATCATACCCCAAATTTTTTACTGGCAATTTGACATTTTTCATATAATCCCCTTAACTGCTATGCACCTGTGACCATCCGTATTTACAAAAACTGATATCCGTACCGATATTTGATAAGCATGGACCTGATGCAAGCAATGATGCGGGTTCCAGGAACTAATTGGCAAGATAAAGAAGAAACGGTCGTGTGAACAAGGATTTTATTCGCCTGTAGTTTCGGATTCTTATTTGGTGGTGGGTTCAAGTGAGAATCCGAAACTACAGACGAATAAAGCCTTTGTTCCAGCGATCGCTTCTTCTTAGCAATTATGGACCTCGTCAGAGGTTGCATTTTATGTAAGCTTCACCTATATATTTGCTTACGATGTTTATTACATACTTGTTACAGCCATAAACTGTTGCCCAGTGTGTTTAATGTCTGTCCTAGACATGTGCATGAGCTGGGGAAATTTGCATCAGTGATTTTATAAACTACTGGTAATTTCAAAGTGGAAACCTCTAATAAAGTGTGTGCATCTAATATAGTGAACTTTTCGAAAGGCTTTTTCTCAAGAAGGTGTTTATGACCCTTTAATATTATGCGAAAATATTTAATTTTAAGAAGTTACCCAACGTTCAGCAGAATAGCGGAGTCCCAATTCCTGTGTTGTCTTAGGGTGTTGGCCCACTTGCAAAATTTTCCCATTACTTCTTCATGATTCCTATTTGACCAGTCTTCAAGACGTTGTCTCTTCTGCAAAAAAAAACAGCTTTGGCTGCTGAAGCAGTCCTTTTTACAAAATACCGAAAATGAGTATGTGTCCATTTCTCACAAAATCTTTTATTACATTAAGCTTATGCCCACTTTCAACAACTAGCAAAATATGCAGATGCTCTTTGTTTGAGAAACAGCATTCAGAGAAATGGGGGCAATTAGATCATTAATAATGTTTCATGGGAGGGCTAATACAAATTAAAACATATAAGGGTCTTTTTAAAGATTAACTATATGGTTGGTTAGTTTATTCAGTGAGTAAATTAGCGGCATAGGAAGTCTCAAAGTGCTTACGGCAAAATTGGAGTCCAAAAGGAGAATATCAACGATACTTATCTTCAATGACACTTGCAGACTGGGATGCTTGAAGTTGTGCCCTACCTGTAAAAATAAATGCACAAATATACATATATTATAATTCGTTTGATTATTTGATTTCCGAATTTTGACACTTAAAGCGGCTGCACCACGACAAAGAGTTAACATGCAATATGTTCGGCCACTGAGTCTACTCACTAGCCGAAGAAGTATTTGGAGTCGACTGACTATATTAAGGTAAATATTCCTTTGCATATTAGACTTTGTTCACAAGACTTGGTTCAGACCCCTTTGCCCTCTTTGTGGTGTTGAATAGCAGACCGTCTATATAATCTTTGGATGTGTTAGATAGAGGATAATCCAAGATTTTGAGGCCAAGACTAGGCAAAATTAGGTCTTCGCTATAACTTTCACCTTGATATATGACCTTTAAATAGAGAATAAGTAATTGATCGTTGGCTTTGATATATATATATGTGCAGCATGGGCGCCATGGTAATTATGACACCCCAACAATAACCATTTAGAACGTAAAGCGCTGCCTACAAATACTTATGTGGGCAGACAGCGCCTTCTAGACCACGGATCTACCCCTGCAGTGTCTAAAAATATAACTTGCACTGCTATCTTTATTCGTTAGCGTAATTTAAGAAATTTCACTAGGAGACAAAGCCGTGTGGTGAAGTGAAAGCTGTATGACTCTCATTCCTACCAACGAACTTTTGAGACAAGAGATGAAAAGTCGAAATTGCACCCGCCTTCCTAAGTGACGGGTTTACGAACCGGTTCTGCAGTTCTAACGGTCTACAAAAGTCAGACTACTCATGATGTTATAAGCCAAATATCTGCTAAATATGCATGGCTGCGGATCGTGCTGGTCTCAATTATTATATAATGATCAGATTAACGCTATACGACCAATTCAGCCTGGTTTTCAGAGCTTCATTTCTGATTATGATTAGGAATGGACCACACTCTTAATGAAACCGTCTGATAGCTGTTAACGAAGTCAGCCTTCATGGTTTTACTTAGGTAACTAAAATCTCGAGCATTTTGCCAACTGACTAAAGTGTCTTTGAAAATCTCATTGTAATAAAATGCGTACCTGCTATCAAGCTGAAGCTTAGCAACATTTGTCATGCTTCAATAGACGCTGTCCTCGTCAGTTACAAACAGACATGGAAAAGATGTCGCAGGTTCATATGTCTATATCACAGCAACCGAGCAGTGTCTTTTTTCAGAAATGTGACCCTGCATGACGCCTGTCAGTATCCATTAACGGAGTTTTAAACGCTAAAAAACCAGCTTCTGACGACAGTCGCGAATAGTTATTTTTTTAAAATTCAATTTATGCCCATAAACAGCCCTTAGGGATGACATAGGCACATTACCTCCCTGCGTTTTCCTTAGCTTAGATTCTAGGACCACATATTACGAAGCTTCTGCTGCGGATGCGACAGTCGCAGTGATTTCTTAGAAAAATATGTTGAAACATAACTTTTTCAAAGTGCGTGAAAAAGTAGAATCAGTAATCAGGATTTCAATGAGCCAACTGAGAAGAATCAGAAGAGGAGGACAGGTTTTCAGTTTGCTTGGGGTGTAAGGCCAAACTCTTCAGAATTATGTAGTTAAGCTGAGCGTCAGTCATCTGATGCATAGGCCGAAGAGTGTTTCGGAAAGTTTAACAAATGCAATTTTACCTGCTATGCGACAGTAAACTGCAAGGATAATCAAATCGAATCTAAGGAATGACTGTAAAAACCTCAGGAGGTTCCCATATTTACAGAGACAATGGGGATAATTTAAAACTTGGCGAAGGACTCACTTTTCGGAAATGTCGACCTTTACCGATTTTACTCATTAGCCTTGCCTGTTCAAACAATTTGAATTGCGTTGTCTTATAAAAATTGGAATATTATAAAACGAACGTCAAGTTCCGGAAACGCTTGGTCGAAGTACCGAAAGTCTTGAGGGGAGTGGCGGACGAAAGCCTCACTATGCAGAACTAGACAGGAAGCGGCGGTCCCATTTGAAATAGTATTGAAACGAACATTTTTTATCAAAACTGAAACGGTTGCACTTACGGTCGTCGCCACCAGTAGCAGCAAAATTTTTAGATGGCAAAACACATTTTCATTTTATGTTAAACAAATGTATCCTTAGTGTAGACTCTTGCGGCTTGAAAATAAACTACACACAAAGAAATTTGCCGCTATGTCAACGATGCAAATATCTTGTGATGCTGATGGAACGGCTTAAAGTCTCATCTGACGGATAAATTTATAAGTTTTCGGTAAGTGTCGGTGCATTAATGACCCCACATAAAATAAAATCCTAGTTGGCACGCGCGCGCATATGCCTATTTATATCTTTCATACACAGCTAGATTAACGTTAAATCTGTTTCAATCATGGTTATTCGGACTTTTTTACCTTTCCCGTTTTCTTGATGACCTGTCCACGGTGTAAATAACCTGCGAAATATCATCGGACTCTCATAAAATATTTCGATTAAAGGGGATGGCTCACAACATCAGTAGCACGTAGACGTCTATAGTATTTTTTCACAATCTGCTTCCTTTTTCCCTATTTAAGAACTTGTATTTAAATATAACATTTAAGGTGTGACCAGACTAATTAACTACGTCGGTTAAGACAGCGCTTTCTGAACACGGCCGAACATGAGTTAAAAATGTAGGTTGGGTGACCCCAAGTCAACACGTAGTACTGCGTTGTGGAGCCTGGATAAAGGATATTTTAAGTCTTGAAGACGAGCAGGGCTGTGGGCATGTATGGGGTCGGCGGTCGATTTGCGCGGTCAAACACCTTAAGCAGATCTCCTGGAGAATCTAAATTAGAAGAGCAGGTGCACTTACGCATCTGGTTTTTGAACACATACTAGAAAATGACAAATAGTGTAACCGGTTTGACTAAGGCTAACCGGCCGAGATAAATTAAAATTAAATTGAAGTCTTTTGTTCAAAACCGGGCATGAATTGGTAAGCCGAAGTCCGGGACACAGCTGTTTGGCTTATCACACATTCAGCTAAAATGTCGAAAAAGCACTCCATAGCCGTTAGAGAATGCTTCGACCAAAAGGTACCAGTGAAATCAGTACCTTGAGGCAAACGGCTGTCAAGTGAAGAAAAAAAGGCAAGGCCTGCAAGGACAATGAGGAAGTAGCGAACACACTGGAAAAACTGGCTGAGAAAGCAACTGGCGATGGTGACGGTAAACTGGGCATAACATCAAAGGAAGGCACCAACAAGCGTCTTGGTAAAGACTTAATGCTTCTAAGCAGTATAAGGTTCAAGGTTGAATTCTCGCAGCTACAGAAGACTTTTTTGCTGCTGAAAGTTGAGAGGACATAAAAAACCAATGCAGAGCAATTATGGACCTTCGAGTTGGTTGTGGAAAAGCAATCTAAAATATTTATAGGTACTCGCACGTCGATGAACAGTTGATGTTCAATTAGCATAACCAACAGAAATAGAAAGTCTGGGTTCAGCTGCCATTGTCAGCTGCGTGAACCGCAACCAAAAGCCCTGAAGGTCCAAGGCGAACAAAAGGCTCCGGCTTCTATCCAATGGTCGCAGTGGAAAAGTGAAAATTGCTGTCAATACCCCTGACAACATATGAGACGGTGTAACCATGTAGGTTTAAATTTCTACTCTTTCTGGTCTGTGGCTCACCATGGCCCAGTGATAGCGGAAACCAAGTCAGAAGTAAGCACTCTAATCTTTAATCTGCGAAATACGAAGGGCTCAAACTATTGACCCGGATTTCTTACATTTGCTAAATTGAACTGAAATCTTTTTTATTCTTGTCGACAATAATAGCTGAGAATTTATGATCCATGTGTCTCCCTTAACTGCCTACTTCGCTCGTCACATTTGAAGAGGGCTTTGACGTAAGGAGATTCTGAAATGAGCTACGTGAACACTGACCTCTACTCCACGTTGCACGAATATTTATACCACCGTTTAAACTACTCATGAGAACATCTTAATAATACATGCAAGACCATTGTTGAAAAACGAATGAACAGTTTGAATGAGCCATTTTCATTGACATCGATATGCCAAACTTTGATGGGCACGCTTGTACTTAACCAAAATTTTTAAGATGTTATTTTGCCTAACGAAACGCAAAAATAACTAGCACAGAAATTTCAGTAATAGGTTGTCAAGAAGTGATGATTGGATGCGAACAGAGGCCTCAACAAGGTACCTTTTATAGAAGCGCAGACGGAATATGATAAAATTAGGATGAAGTGCAAACGTCCCTAATCAATATCCTGTCCACGGTACAGTGCGCTATTGTAGGGGAAAGTGTACGGGCTACATATGACAAGTGATGGAAATGCTTAAAAAACTATTTCCTGAATGCGATATGAGCGTTAATGTAAGGTACCTGTCAAAGTATTTAAACACTTACCGCCCCCATTGTAGCAATGATATACTCTGTCAGTCTTTTTCCAAGAACTCTGCTCATGCGTGGCGTGACTACCACTAAGAGTTCAATTATGTTTTCTTCCACACTGTGAAAGCTCACTGCAGGTACAGCCTCCTGCTGGTTAATCCGTTCCGTCCAGCCGTAGTTGGCGTCATCGGGTGAACTAGACGGCGAAGCGGTGTCCTCCACTCTGAGATGTCTGTGCATCTGAACTGTACTGCCTGTGTGGCTCGTGGGGTGAGGTGCGGACCCCAACCGTGTCTTTGCCGATCGTAGCGGAGATCTTGGAAAGCGCTGGAGGCCCTTGCGGGTACGTGCCCACTCAGAGGCCGGTTCACCTAAGTTAGAAATGTAACAGCCATAAAAGTTATATAAGGGAGGCTCAAAATAAAAAAAAATGGCAGACAGTAAAGTTGCATATGACATTTCTGGAGAAATTATGGCAGATGAAAGGGAATATGAAAGAACAATCGTTTTTTGAATACTCCTTTTGCAAACGTTCATACATGGAATCAGAAACACGAGAAGTATTACCGGAACCAACAAAATGTTCTACTTCGTTTGCAAGCTATAAGTCATTGGGAGTTGGCGGCATTAATTTAGTCTATACAGAGTAAAATGTATCTAGTATGAGCAACAAGTAAACAACGGCCCACTGTTATTCGGCATAAGACGAAGAGCCTGAGCACTTAATGCCATCAATCCGCTTGATTTAGAGTGGACTTCAAGGCAGCGGGGTCGTACACCGCAAGAATAGAGAAAATACGCTAAGCGATTAAAACCATTCAATCTAATCTCATTTGTAGATTCATAAAACTGGATCCCCACAGTCTATCTGTAAAAAAACGGGCCGAATAAGAATGCGTGGGGAATAAAGTATAGTTGATTGGAAGAAAAACGGGAAAATTAACTCCTTGTAATACAGTAGGAAACAAAATCCACGAGTATGTCCAAGTGATACGGCGATTATTTGGTTAGAGACACTTAATAGAAGCAAATTAGGCACACTAAAAGCGTGAGCACGTTGTGCAAAAAAATAACCGATCAAAGTCCTCTGCAAACTAATGGAGTCTTTCCGCAACTCTATTTCGACAGACCCTTTTATAATCTGGGAAATTCGGACAAGCGAATTCGGCATAAAGATTGCTCTACTTGGACTGCATATGCAGGCCACCCAAACATATTCTGGACTGGATGTTTCTTCGAATTCGTTTTCTACTTCCGGAGAATCCTCAGTCATTCAATCGAATCATAGATTGGCACGACCTATTTTCCTGCCAATCGATTTTGCTGCACCTCTCAATACCTCATGGTGAACAGACACTAAACGTAAATATGCTCAGCAGGGTATCCGGCAAAAACGGCATCTGTCAAATCAGCTCCCTAGCCCAGGTGGCTAGAATTACCTGTGCTCTAGCCAACCCCATGCTGTCGTTGGTTCAAGTTCCACCGAGGTCGCCATTTACGATAGTTGGGTAGAGGAGAAAAATAATAAAAGGTCATTTTTGGATCATAATGTCGCACTGCATGCATTTTCTGAGTGCGCCGATTATATTGCTTAAAGTGGGCTTCGAAGAGCCGATGCAAACTGCTTAGATGTTTGCAATAACTTTAAGCTTGATATAAATCAAAAACGCTTGAGGCCGGCTACATGCAAAGATTTCCTTTATTTTTTATATTCATTCTTATTCAAGAAGGAGCTTACAAGAATCAGACAAGGTTATCAAAATTATACTCACATTATTAACTGTTTTGGCCCTTTATGACGCAGGTCGGAGTGGACAAAAACAATTTGTAAATATGTCGCACTTAGGGGTGAGGATATTAGTCTACTGAAAATAAGACGAAATTAAAAAAATCCATGTCTGTAGTTTGTTTCATCATTTTACCTCATTGATGCATCCCACTTTCATAAAACACCCTTTGAAGACAAAGACTGGGACACAAGACAACAAAAGTTTTCATTATTTGAGATAGCTTTAAGCATCAATCATGTAAACGTCCGATATCGAGAGCCTGATTAACTCGGAGCCGGAGCGTGCTTGCGTCTCGTCATGCCACACTGACGGAGGTAAATTCTCCAAAAGACAGGCACAAGGCCTACGTTTGATGTCCTACTAAGGACCCGACGTATCTCTTCCGGTACTTGTTGTGAAAGTTACGTATAGAAACGTTTGCTAGTTGAAGAAATAACTGCACGACCGGACATAGCTTGTTTACAGTTAGTGTTCGCGATGGCTAGCGGCTCCCTTAGGGAATTCGCCGCTGGAATAACAAATAATAACTCGGAAAATGCCGATTTATGTATCGGACCAGCGGAGAGTAGACAGGGCCTAAAAGCATTCACGGAAGCACAAACCCACGTGCACTTATAGTGCATGTATGTACTTACTACTCGCACAATATAGAAAGCAGCCGGATGAACGTCTTACTCACTAGAATGTCTTCCTAATGTTTGATCGCCTTTTTGCCTATAGTGGCTGAAATATATTGACATGACATAGGGATGACCGTAACGTTGAAATTCGACGGACATAAGAAGAGAATAGTCAAGCACGGCGCTTAGTAGTTAAGAAAATATGACGTACCTTGGGTCCAGAGCGTCCTCGACCTGTAGCTGGGTCCCGTTTTACTAAGTTTTACCTCGACGCTGGTCGATGGAGTGGGAGCGGCGACAAAATTCAAAACGGTCGAGGTTTGAACCAGGAGGACAATTGCTGCGGATATGAAAGACATTGGCGGTTCTCTTTTGCGATGGAGGTATTGCATTGTGCCTGAAATTGCACTCTACTATGTAATGAATAATCTTGAATAAACTGTCGATGTATAGGTCTCTTTTGTGTTCAAGTAGTGCCTACCCTTTCACAAGATGACTAAAATTTGAAATTGGACTTAAGTCGTCGTCAGAAAGTAAGCTGCAAGATGCAAAAATGTTGTCAAGTAGGACCTAATTAATGCTTTGTAAATGCGAAGGATGGCCGCAGCACATTGTCGGGCGTAGCTCTGCGCATATAGGGCAGTGAAAGAAAGTAGATTTAGAAGACCGATGAATTCAAGCAACCGATAGTCTGGGGGTACAGACTACTGTTAATGGCTCATCACGGGCGCAATTTCTATACATAGAGATGCACGCATGTAGACACTGGTATAAAAGCGTCATGCAGCCAACACCGGCACACGCGTCAGTGGCTAAGCCCAAGGTTAGATTGCCTGAACCAATCAGATTTGTTGAGAAAGACCGGAAACAAAACATGTCCTAGACCGGTCTAAGCGCAGACATGGTCGCGGCCAGCACACTGTGATTGTGAAAGTTCAGTTACTTCTCTCATATAGAAATTTAAATTCGTACAGAGTAATCTCAAAGAACTCATAAACTGCTTCGTCCTCTTGACGGATCTTTATCATTGAAAGACAGCTAGTTCAACAAAAGGTAACTTGAGCGAAATCGCGACTTCGTGCGCAAAGCTTCCACAGACTAAAGGCAGCGTCGGAAAGCTTGTGCACTCATCTACTCCAAAATAGTTTTGCACAGCAATTTAATAGAGTTTTGTTTAATTAAGAATTCTACGGAGATCTTACTGGCATTAAATATGCATAATGCCAGCTACCAATTTACGAAATAAAGTAACTTAATGGACTCTGATTCCATGACTTGGCATATACTTAAACAAATCATGAAAAATTTGAAGGACTTGTGTTTGATTTTTTCAGGATACAGATGAAGTATCTTTTGACAAATTTTGTTGGTTTTTGTTTGGAAACGAGCATAAATTCTAAAAACAAACGTTCTTCAAATCAACTTCTCTCACGTGCTGAAACTGCCAACTTTCTTGTTTCTACGTATTTCGTTCATACCATGCGATTATTGATGATCAGCTTATTCCTCCTCCATTCGTTTCCCTCGCCTTTCATTTTCATCATTGCGAACTATTAGGGAAAAGTGCATATTTGCAAAATTATGAACGTTGACTGGATTACACATTACTGTGCCAGAGGGAGTCTGATCTCTGAATGAGATTACTTATCTGTTTTTTGTGTACAAACGAGTCTGCCTCCGGTAATTCTGCAGGCCGATAGACTTAAGACCAAAAATTTGTAAAAAAAGAAGTCCTGAAACACGCCTGACATTCGATATAAATGCTTTCAGTTTGGGTGCTCGAATGCTTGCTTCTGTGGCTCTTACACATAGTTTCTAATAACTTTGCTCAATTCGTGAATACAGACTATATTTTACAATTTGCAGCTAGTTTCTTTTGAAGCTTAGATGTAACTCATTATTCGCATATTGCTAAGAAGGACTGCTTATTCTAAGTGGTTCTAAAACCAATTATTGACTTTACACATGTCGTAATATCTGCTGTTTTTAGAGAATTATAAATGATGAACTGTAGTTCACTCTGTGTGAATTTATCGCATGAAATGTCAACCTTAAACGGCATTGTACATGACTGCAGACAGCCAGTACGTAGAGAGAAAAACGAGCGATTTCAGACAGCTGTTTCTTCTTAAGGTCTTCCTAGCAACCTTAAGGTTAATCGTTGGAGAATTTTCTCGTACAACACACATAAAAACTAAACTTAAAATATTATTTTAATCAAGGCAGTGTGCAAGGTCAATGGCTGTGATTTGCATGCAAAGGGGGCATATTTTTCTTCTGATAATAAGACATACATCAAGCCGCAGGTGGATAAAGGCAATCGGAACAATTAAACTTCCGTCAAGCATCGAATGTTGTCTTAAACGGGCCTGAGTTGATGATGGTGATCTCAAAGAGACTATTCGATAGAGTTACACAATGTGCGGCTAGTCTTTAACAGTATCTGAGTTTGCGACTCAATTTCGACGAAAGTTTCTGCGTTGGCTTGTTTATTATAATGTTAAAGTAATGCTCTCTGTTTTTTTCAGTAATATGTTTATTATTAAACTTTAAGAATACAGATAATTTGAAGAGTAACCTGAGGAAAATCCTCAAGAAGTGTTCTAAACAAGCAATTCACTGTTAACTCATACAAAACTCTGGGTTTTAAATCCTAATACGTTCCAACCACCTGTCAAATTTCCACTTTGTTAAGTTGTTGTTTTCTTGAGACTTTAGCTGACCGCCGGAATAATACCAGAAAGAACGCACTAAGTAACCCCTCTAACTTACGGCTTTGGCAATCTAATCATCGTCGTCATAATTACTACTCCGCTAAGATTCCTCTAACTAGTGCTTTTGTACTTTACTGAAATCGTGGAACTGAAAGTAAGTCCTGTTTCTTTATGTTAATGCCAGTGTTCTCAACTGGAGAGATCCTGTTGTATCTAAATCTTTCAATTAATTATCAGGGCATCAAAACGTACTGAATTTGTAGGGTGTCACTAGGCCTAAAATCTGCCGCAGTACAGTTCTTGGACATTATTAGCTGTAGGAGTACCTTTACCAGGCCCCGAATTCTGTGGTCTTCTTGGCTAACATTTCAGGGAATTAACTAAAACGCTTAGATGAGTCATCTTATTTTGTTGGTATTTCATCATCAAATTTCCTTTATATTTATCATTCGACTAAGATACCTGGAACTAGCAAGTAGGCGGTGACCTCTGAGTCATAATTAATTGCGTATTGCATTTCAAAACTAGCGTGTAAATAGATGGAATGGTCAAACTGACCCCCATTAAAGCTTGGCCTTTGTGTCTGACAAAACATATGCAGTGCTCACTCTGGGTTATGAACTTTTGCTTTATACCCTTCTAACCTTTAAAAATCGAAAGGACGTGACTAACAAATATTTCATGAAGTAAACTATCCAACGTGATTTGCCGTTTTAGGGAAAAATGCGAAACGGTTATGGAATTTACTTCTCAGGGAATACTACTTTAATAGTTTCTTCTCGTGAGTTTGTTTTTTGTAAAATTTATACAAAGCTTCCAGCAAAGTTGTTGTTCTTATGTCACGTATCTGGAAGGTAGGTGGAGTTTAGGTTAAGATGTTTGGCAAAAAAATGAGGACGGCTAAATATATATATATATTGGGATATATCCAGACATATGATCAGAAGCCGTTATAAGATTCATACCTTCTGATCTTAAAGAGCTTCGATTGGCTATGAAAAAAACTCGGAAAAAGGTAATTGTCTTCCCTTATAGGAATACCGTTTTCCACATCTAGCGGTCAACTTAGTATTAAGTCAAACAGGATCTCGCTTTGTGCCGACTGCGTTGAACAAAAGTTAACTTTACTGACGTTGAGTTACATTGGCGTAAAAGACTGTTGATCCGTTTTATCTAGACCCAAAGCCTTTGTTGGTAAATTGCGCAGAGATGTGTAAAAGTTTTAACTGATCTTTGTGTCAGAAAAAATTGTTGTAAATTTAAATAAGGAGGTACTTAAAATACTCCGTTACTATTGAGGAATTTTTAACACAAGAAAACTTTTAAAAGATTGACTTGGTTCATAAGGTCTTCATATTCATCGCCTAATCTATTTTCAAGGACCCTTCAAAGAACCTTTTCAAAAGGCCTGGAGATGCGCTACGCCGTTGTCAATACAGTTTAAAAAAGCCGCCAAAAACATCCGCTTTTATTTTATAAAATTAGAGCAAGGACCTCTCTCCAAAAGACTGTAGTTTTATTTATGTATGAGGGATGAAATTTTCATTTCTAAAATCAGAAACACTGGGATAGAAGTGTCATGTCACTTAATTAATGCTAATTACGACAGAACATAGCAAAAGAGGGCCGTTGAAGATAGTGAATTCTGAATGCTGACCTGTAGTCTTTGTGCGTAAAAGAACTCTATAGGTTTGTAAACATGAATTCGATCAATTATGTGTTGTAGCCTGGTCTTTGCAATTGATATGTACGAATTCAAGCGTCTTTGGCGCTGAAAGTTTATTTTTTGCTCCGCACCAGTTATTTTTGACAACTTCAAAAATACTTTCAAGTGGACTAATGTATAGTTCACTGGCGGAAATAATATGTAGTCGAAAGCCCAGGACAGGTCATTGGCTGTTGCCCAAAAAATCTGTTCGTTTAGCTAAGTACTATTAAAGCGCACTCCTTGAGCCCTAAAAAAGATTATTTTTCTTAATCACTATCCATTCCACTCAAGGTGACTAAGTCCCCCATGACCGACAGCATCATTAATGATGTGGGTGAGTACTCTGTTGCTTATGGAATCTATGACTGACCGTTAAACTGGCGGCTCACTACATTTGTGAATCAACTGAGTTACGTAACCTGAGCAGTTCTAGAAATATATGGTAGAGGCAGTCTGTTTTCAAATAATTTCTCACATAAAATCATCTGACGCGCCATAATAGGTCTGTCTCAAATAAGACCTAGTCGCATAGTGGGTACCCCTTCGGAATGAAGTTTTCGTTATGCCATAATGTCTGGAAAATTACAAATATCCCCTAACTTGTCTTCCATCGGTGTTGTGGCTTTTTACAGATGAGGAGCAAAGTCCTTCAACCCCTTCCTTTTTATACAGTGGGGGAATATCCCGAACATTCAGTATACATTATTTGGCGCGTATTGGTACTTTTGTAGTGGTTGACGGACACATTCGCCATCTTGCTCATCCGTAGGCGGTTGTGGAATGCAGGGCTCTATGGTCAGTAATTTGCCAATAACATTTACAGTGACATTTCTGCTGTGCATTTTGGTGTCTATTTAAATTTGACGACAAATAAAAGTTGCCCGATATCATCGACGCCTGGCTTGAAAGAGAAAAATGGGAGTATATTGCGGATACTTCTTCTAATTCCTAAGAGGAAAAAAGAAAGTAT